GAATTACTTCTCTGAATGGTACTGGTAAGCACATAACTACGTTCCGTTCTAAAAAAGCGCCTCACAGCGCCAGTTCATCAGCTATCGCATTTCCTTCGGTTGCTCTGGCACTGCTCTTTTCTCAATCAGTCTTTAGATCTCCTCATTACATAGTTGTTTGAAATTAAGACTTGCCGCTTGGCTATCTTCATACATATGCATTCTGCTATCCACTCTGTTTGGAAGGTAATGTATTATATGGCATCTAAAATCGCATGGGCGTAGTAAATCGCAGCCACATTTCACTGTTTATATGTATCAGGTGAACAACTTTGCCTCCGCCGTTTCTTTTTTCCAAATTTAAAAGCTTTATTGCGAAAAAGTGCTTACAGATATGTTATTCAAAGTATTGTCCTTCGCTAGCGACAACTTTCTCCCATCTTTCCGGCAATTTTCGGATCCCGGCTCAAAAAAGAGAGTCCTCCTTTGACACTATCCATGAAGCAATCCATTTTTCCAATTCTTCGAAGGATTGAAAATGTTGATCTTCCAGGCCGTGTGCCATCGAACGGAATAGGTGGAAGTTAGAAGGGGCGACATCTGACCACTTTGGCGACGTGAGGCCGAGCATTGTCGTGTTGGGGGATGACTTTGTCATGTCGCTCTTGATATTGTGGCCGCTTTTCTTTTAGCGCGCGACTAAGGCGCATCAGTTGCGTTCGGTAGCGATCTCCTGTTATGGTTTCACCCGGTTTTAGGTTTCTAGTTGTTCGTCTTTGAAGGTTTTTTCTCTTCCACCACCATGTTTGTCTTCGACATCGAAATCACCGTTTTTAAAACGTTGAAATCACTCCCGACACGTTCTTACACTCAGAGTAGCATCACCGTAAGTTTCTGAGAGCATTTTTTTTCGAAATTCCGCAAATGGCGAGAATTAGGCACATAAACGGACATTTTCGAGTGTGAATAATACGAAAACAAGAACAACTGTCACTTTGGAAAACAAACGGCGATGACAATTCGTTAGGCACTGTCCACACTCACTTTAAAGGCATTATCATCTATGTATTTCACCAGCCTCAGCCGGTACAGCCACCTATCGGAAAACGGCGGAGGCAAAGTTGTACACCTGATATAATATATATAGAGCTTTTCGCTGTCAAACGCAGGACTACGTAGTTTCCCTATACTACTGTGTTTGTAAGCCCTAAGTTTTTGCCGAGGAACTATATAATCGCTCTGGTTTTAGACCAAAGACAAGTTTGTGGCAACTTGAGGTCTTACCGCTTTAGTTTGCCGTATGAAATATATAGGACGGTTTTGGTTTTCTTTGCTGAAACGTTATAAAATTAAGGGTTTTTATTCGGCGACTTCAAATGTACAAATTTATGTATTCGACTGCTACTTTTAGAATTTGTATATAAACATAGGTTCACTATATGTTCACATATGTATGTGGAGACTTGAATATTGTTAGATTTTTAGAATTAAATTTCAAATAGTTTCAATAATGGATAGAATACCGCAATTGTTCCACACCTCCGTGGGCGTGCGATGGGAATCGATTTGATAGTGATCTAACGAAAGGGTTTAAAGAGGTAGCAACGGATTAAGGATTACGGAAGGAAACGGAGAGAAATGAAATACCGGAAATGCGGCGCGCACTGAGTTAACAATAATTTTAGGAGGAGCGCTTACTTCACATTTACTTACTTACTTCAAAATTTCAACTAAAAATTGCCTATTCCTCCATTTCTAGGAAGTGTTTCGATATACAAAGTTTGGCCAAAAATGTCACTTTTTATCATTTGTTTCTACTTTTTTCAAGCTTTCAATTTCCAATTTATGAAAATTACTTTCTCACGCAAAAAATCGGTACTAAAGCAAACAAATATTTAACAACAGCAACAAGAAAGCGAAGAGACTTAGAAAATTTCGTGCATTAGCTTGGGTATTGGATATTAACGTCGCAAGCCATCATGCCACCACACACAGTTTCACAGTTTTTGTTGTGGCATATAATTTTCAAATTCATTATCTTATTAAAAAACCAGTTGAAATAAATTATTGACAGTCGCCATAGGGCAATTACCATAATTTTTAGCAAAACTTTATTGATACAATATTTTATGGTGCTAACAAACGTACACGTTTGTTGATGCCCGCTTGTTTTTGTGTATATGTGTATGTATGTATTTTACGACACATTCAACATAAATAACCACAGTCGTGCGCATATTAAAGTATCGAGGGCAGAGAAAAAACAAATATTTAACTGTTGCGGGTCATTTTTGAAACATTGAAATGAACTGCAAGATATACAGGCGATGTACCAATTAAGCCAACATTTTGCTTTATGTACATTGATAAATACACATAAATACCTTGCTCATACCCAAACAAGCAATTGTTTTTCTACGTGCTACTTGTATTTTCTGTTTCGAAAATTTGCGCATATCGGCGCATTTTTTAACATTTGGCACGTTTCACTGAATCCGGAACGAATGCGTCAATGCTAAATATGTATGTTTTCTTTGGGTCGCCACATTTTGTCCTTAAATTGCTACTGAAGCAACACACAAATGCATATGTGTACGAGTATGTATGTAATCCTTTATGGCTTAAATAGGTCAAAATGAAATATTTTTGTTCGAAAATGGTTGAATTCGATATTGATTACAAAAGAAAAGTACGCGAAAGTACTATTCGATACGATTTTTGCCATCGATCGTCCGAAGATGACCATAAATCTTTCGTAAAACTTTTGACTCAAAGACTCTCAATGCTGATTCATTGGATATTGTCATAAAAAAGGATAATCCATTTCGTTAATTCAAAGTACAGGAGAGCATTTTGACATCTGCCAAACATAACTGTCAAACTAAACACGTTTTGTTTTAGTTATAGCTCAGACGTTTATGAAAGTGATGCGCTTAACAACCGCATAACGCGTTAAAATTGTTAAAACCCACCACAAAAATAGTGATTCAAACGTGGCAACGTTTTGTGCTTTAAGGTGAGATTTTGATGCACATCAACATCGAAATACTCAAGCAATCGGTCAAATTTTAAAGAAATTTGAAGTGACTGGATCGGTTACAGATATTGTGGGGCCTATGTATCATCGTTTTCCTCGTTCCACCTCAAATATGGCTAATCTAAGCGAAGGTGTACCCCGAAGACTCGATTGTGCCTAGTTCTAGACGTTCTCAAGAGCTGGGACTTGATGTAGTATTTTGCACATGGACTGCCATCTACATCCATATAACGTTTAGCTCACACAACAACAGAAACAAGCTGACCTTTCACAATGCCGTATATACGTCGATTGGATGCTCGAACAACAAGCAGTGGACGGCGATTTTACAAATAAAATTTTCTTCAAACACAATGTGCCTTGTGGGTAAATAAGCAAAATTGTCACATTTCAGGCTCCGAGTCCTAGAAAAGTTGAGTGGAGGCAATTGCACTCAAAAAGCTCTCCGTATGGTGAACTCTTCGGTCTGGAGGTATGATTGGTCCTTCCTTCTTTAAAAACGAAAACGAGGAGACTGTCAAAGTCAATTCGGTGCGGACTTTTTTTTTTTGGTTTGTAATTGATCAACATAACTTGGACAATGTGTGGTCTCAAAAAGAAGGTGCGACATGCCACATAACAAGCGCGAAAATGAGCTTTATTGCCAGAGAAATTTCCCGTACGCGTAATTGGCGATTACAATTGTTGACCGAAATCATAGGATTTGACACTGTTGGCCTCTTGTTTGCAAGGCTAGACGAAATATGTTTGTTTATGCGGATAAACCTTCTTGAGCATTGAAAAAAGCAAAATTCGTCAAGTTAAGGCTGAGATCCCGCCTAATATGTGACAAAAAGTGATGACATATTTCCTCAACCGGAACGAAGTTCACAAGATTTTCCAAGACGGTCATTTGGATTATATTGTGTTTCACAAATGCATAGCTTAAGACTTTAAAATAAAAAAAGGGATTTTAGAAATTTTTTATAAATTTATTTTAATAACCCTATACACGCTTCTGTAGCATAAAGTGGCATAGTATTGATGAGCCACTTTTAGACTTTGACCTTCGTGTGTCAAGAGGTGGCTTTCATTTCATTGTCGGCGAGTTTTAGTTTTTCACACAGAACAACACATGCCTCTGATGGTTTTTTTACGAGGAGCCTTTATTTTATGCACGAAAAACACTCGGAGGGGTGGACATTCCCTACCGAGGGGCGACCGCAATTAGAATATTTAACTTAATTTTGTTTAAATTAATTTTCAATGACATTTTGGATGTTGGTGACACCAAGATTTAACCGCGGGCCTTCCGAATGTTGGTACGCAGTGCTAACCACTTGGCTACCGCGGCCGAACATAATTATAATGAGGTCAAAGGTCAAGCAAAATTTAGAAAATCATATATGGATTTCTTGCTTGGAGAGCATTTTTAGACTTCCCTCTTATACTTAATTAAATATTATGGCAACCCCTCCGGTTTTCCATGTTTCATAAGAAACTTAATAAGCCTCGGGCTACAACTCACCAGCATATCTCGAATGCAGCGGTCAGCACTGTAGAGTAGTGAGTTATTTATTAGAGTGGCTATAAAAAACGGTCTCCCCATAACTTTAATAATACGTGACCATATGAGTAAATACTAAAATTCATAAAAAGGGAAAGTAATTTTTTTATTTCAGCAAAGCAGATACACTTGACGACGATATGAAAACGAGTGGGATAAAAATCCTCTACATTCACGTATTATTTATTTATTATTTATATGCTTTCACAACCACGCATACATACAGTTATATAAAAATTTATTTCAACAAAATATTGTAGTATTCGTAAAATAACCGCAGCTCATTACAATTAAAAAAATTCAAATTTTGTATCCCTTGATATGGTATTAAACATAAAAAATACAAAACATTTTCATTAAAGCGTAAAAAGATACATTTGTGTATGTGTGTAAAAATATTTATTATACATTTATTTATCCCTTACCGTTATTATATAGCCGGCTGATTGGAAATCCTTTAAAGGAGTTATCTGGTGAAGTGTTTCTGCGAAGTAGTTACCTTGAAGCACTGTGAGTAAACATGTATGAACTGAAGAGTATAAGATTTTATTTGTTATTGTACTTATAAAACTAAAAAAATTATTAAAATCAAAAGTTGTTCCGTAATTTCGTACAATTTCGAACATTTTCCAAAAACTAAACATTTAATACACTAACATTTCCGAAATCATAGCTAAAAATTTACCTTCCTCATCTCAGCTCCCTTAGCCATACACCATTATTTATTAGCCAACAGTTAATTGGATCACTAAATATTTCATATCTCAATTTGACGGGCATACACTTTGATCACATCGAATTCGCTGCCATCAATCGCATGATCAATCTGAAGTACATTGTCTTTGATCGTTTTTATTTCTGTTCGATGACACCGCAAGTTCGTATGTGTAAGCCGAATAGTGATGGTGTCTCGTCGTTTCGCGATCTACTAAGTAAACCGGTACTACGCTACTCCGCGTGGATAATGGCCTTTGTGACGGTATTAGGTAATATAATGGTACTTTGGGGACGTTTCATCTATCGTGATGAGAATATCGCTGTTACCATGGTTATACGTAATTTGGCATTGGCCGATATATTAATGGGATTTTATTTGATAACAATCGGTGTGCAGGATTACCGTTATCGTAGCGAGTATTACAAGTGAGTACATTTCTTAACACTTTGAAAACACTCTTTCGTTAATCATCAATTCTATTATAATTTTGCATTCTCTTACTATGACAAACCAAAAGACTTATACCACAGCCACACCTTTTCTGAAGCTCACAAATGCATTTTGCAAAAAAAAAACTAGAAATTCATAATTTACAAAGCTCAAAGAGATTGTCAAAATTCTCTGCACTGACATTGAGTTTGATTTTAGTGTTCAGTTAATCTTAGATATTTATTGGAAAAAATATTGAAAGAAGAATTGCATTGAAAGAAGAACTTCGAATGCCTGAATGTTACAGGAAACTTCCGATTAATCGAAGTAAGTATCAGGTTCTGGAGAAAACCAGGTAGCTTGTTAAGTTGTCTTGTGCTGGCAACCCATTAGGAGGTGTTTCGTCGTGAAGTCTGAATTTTCGGACAGTTATGCCGAAGATACCTCCTTGTATCCTTGTTCACATTGTCGTTTTCTACAGTCGGGCCGTGAGCGCAAATTAGAGAAATGTTGAAAAAATGTTGGAGTGAATGCCCAGACTCGCCTCTCTCCCACTACAAATCCGACACCAAATTTGTGTTGCTTTATTTGGCCGCTGCAGTAATTGCCACAAGGACCTGCTCGTTTCGGTTCTTGTTCCATCCATCGCCATTCTTTGGACTCAGCTGATGTCAGCCCTTAGTCATACGATGACATCAACCAGCTGGGCACGACACCCTTCCAATTAAGGGATCAAACATATCAGCTGCTCTGGTTTCAAACCCAGCGCACAACTTCGCTGAGCGAGTAGGTTTAAAGAAGATTTTGCGGCAGAATATTGGTTTTCGGGCTAACAAAATCCAACTCATGCAAGAATTAAAGCCGAATGACCATGATGAAGATAACCTTTTGTAAATTACTAAACAAAAATGTTGCATATGGAATGATGCTAATCAACAATCCATTAATGAGTCGCTCTTACATCCTCAAAAAGTCACTGTTTGGTGTACTCTATAGGTGGAGAGTATCATCGGTCCATAATGAAGCCGACCATAATGTTACAGTCAATGAGAAACCCTGTAGACGCATGACAGATGACTTTTTCGTATCTGAATTGGATGATGTTGACTTGAACGGCCTTTCAAGAAGAGGGTGCTATATGTCATACAACTAACGAAACATTCAATGTATTCAAGCAAACTCTTGGCAAGTGCATGTTTTCGTGGCGTGGTCTGGTCTGCAAGATGGTCCGTTTTAACACCGGCTGACTATTTTTTGTGGGGTCTCTCGGCTGAAATTTATTCACACTTGCCCGAAATCACTTTTAAAACATAATGGCAAATACTTGTCTTGAAAGCCAAATGTCTAGAAAAACATCCTTTACCTACCAAAAATTGTCAACATCGGCCCAAAAGGCTGACATGCAAAATGTCTAGAATATGACAAGACGTTTGCCTTTCTCCAACTACGATTTATTTTTGATCACTTCTGACCGACTAACGTCTATTTATCTTCAATTATTTATTTTTTTTTTTTTCAAGTAGATTTTAGTGTAGCTTATGCGCATAAAGTCACGTTTAACGTGCTTACTATTCCTCTTTTCATCTTATCTCTTCAAGAGTTGCACTCGATTGGATCACCTCTTGGCAGTGTGCCGCCATCGGTTCTCTCGCCGTCACTTCATCTGAGGTCTCCATGCTAATACTCGCCTTCATGTCATTCGAACGATTTCTACTAATCGCCGATCCGTTTCGCAGTCAACACCGTATCGGTATTAAAAATATTTTTATTGCCCTTTTGATTATTTGGTTGATGGGCGTGGGCATTGCTGTGGCGCCAGTTGCACTTTGGCATTCAAGTACGAAATTCTACGGCACCTACTCGGGCACCTGCTTCCCGCTACACATACAGGAACCCTACCCGTTGGGCTGGCAATATTCAGCGTTCATCTTCTTGGGCGTGAATTTATTTTTACTACTGATGATTGCCCTACTCTACACAGCATTGCTCATCTCCATTTGGCGTACACGTAAAGCCACGCCACTTTCCCTGCTCGATTGCGAATTTGCTGTGCGTTTCTTTTTCATTGTACTAACAGATGTGCTGTGTTGGGCGCCTATTATTGCTGTAAAGATTTGGGTATTCTTCAACTATAACATTTCGGGTAAGCGAAATAATAATAAAAAATCAAAAGGAGAAACGAAAAAAAAAAAAAAAACAAAAACAAAGCGTAAATTTTATTATACTCTCGTGCATACACACATATACTCGTACGTAAGTGCATATGAATGTTGCTCATACGCCACGCTGGTTGTGGAATGTGCACATTTGTACGTGTATGTATGTTTAACTGTTTGTTGGTGTATTTGTTTGTTTGATGGTTTGTTGATTTTTTTTTATTTCTACGAACAGACGATATCTACGCCTGGCTGGTTGTCTTCATTTTGCCACTGAACTCCGCTGTCAATCCGCTGCTGTACACATTCACCACACCGAAATATCGCAATCAAATACTCTTACGCGGCTGGAAGAAAATAACAGCGCGACGTCGCGCTGAACCCTCCAACGGCTTGGCTACGACAATTGCAACTGCTACGGCATCATCTAATCCGGGTGAGTTCCCTATGCACAAACATAACTACATATATGCATATATTGTACATACGTGTATATTCGTATGTATGTGCATTGTCCATGTGTTATTGGGTCGATATACAAATTGTTGGGAAGTAATCTCAATAATATTAACAAATTTTACCATTCTCATTTTAGACGAATCTTCGGGCAAAGCCATACCACTCACGGTGAATCATTAGAAGCAGCTACTGCGTACATGCTTATACAATAGTATAAATAAATATATATATATGTATATGTATATGTATTTGTATGTAGATAATATCACGCGACTTAATGCCAAGGCATGTAAATAAATAAATATACATATGTGTGTATATGCATTCCAAATGTGTGAACCTATAGCTTTAAGTATAACAATATCCAATACTTATGTATATATGTACATATGTATATGGACTCACCTACTCGTCTGCTACCTCAACAACCTCCAGTACAACAACAAATGCAGCAGCAGTTTGTCTACCAAAGAAATTGTATAGCATTTATGATGCATTTAAATACATACATACATACAAACACACACATATTGCACAAACATACATAGTATGTATGTATGTGAACATGCATTAAGTAGAATATTATATGTAGATGTGTACATTAAGCTATTTTATAACAAAATAACAGTAAATATACATACTCAATTATACTATGTGCACATAAACAAATTATGTCTGACATACATACATAAACATTTAAAATTTTATTCTATAAATTTTTCAATTGTGCTTTCCGAAAGTGAAATTTTGTTATAAACGTATTTATAAATAATAAATATAATTTATGTTCATATGTATGTACATATAAGCAAAAATGCAGAATTGATTTAAGATATACTGTGTACGTAAAGTATGTTCGTGTGTGAGTGAATGTATACATGTTATTTAAAATAAGAAAATAAATAAATGTTTTTGTTTTAATAAATGTACATACATACATAAATTAAACGGAGTTTCATTAACGCTTTCATATTCCTAAACACATAAATACATTAGTATGTTAAGCGAATTACCGTTATATTTAATACAAGGTTCCGGCATAAAATGATCTATTAATTTACTTATCTGTCCAATGGACACGTCTCCAGCATCTCGACTCGGGCCACTATTTTTTTGCAGCCAAGATGCGCAGCTGTGGGACGTCTTTTCATGCTCACTAAGTACCGTTGCAAGAGAGGGAATTGCATTTTAACAAAGTCAATAAAAGAAGATGGCGGAGGATTGCCATACCGCGGACTAGAAACTAACAAAGTTGGCATTGTTAGCAGCGCAAATGGTATGGAAAAAGTACCAAAAGTTGCAGATGGAACCGAGACGTATTTGAAGACAGAAAAAGAGAAAGACTTGAATACATAGGTACTTGAGAAAATGGCAAACAAGGAAAATGCACGAAAATTTCATAAACAAATTTATAGTCTCTCATGAAGTATTGAAACGGGAGCTTTTTCCTGTGGAAACCAGAAAGAGGATCTGATGACACATGTTCACAGCATAACGGGATTATGGGGGAAACACATTTTCAGCGTACTTGGAAAGCTGTCTCTATGCTGCTATGTCTGAGTTTGTTATCTTCTCTCCTATGCAAACTTTTGGTAATTAGCATAAAATGATCTATCGCAATTAGGAAGAACCTCTACGTGCCAAACAGAGAGACATCCTGTGTATGGTGCAGAAACGTGGACGTTAACAACATCCGATGAGTCGTTTTGGGTTTGGGAGTCTTCTAGAGAAAGTTTTCGCAGAAGACTTATAGTTCTTTCCGTATGGTCAACGATGAAACTAAGAGCTTTGTGAGATGTAGGACTACATTGACAGAATAAAGCAAGTTAAGAGACAGCATTCTTCGAATAGATAAAACGCTCTAGCTATGGAAGTATTCGAAGTAGTACTTCAAAGTGGAAACAGAGAGAGAAGGAAGGATGAGATTATATGGAAAAGGCTGAGGTTTAACTCAGAGAACAATAAAAAAAAAACGTTGGAGGGAGCATGCGGAGCGAAACCTGGCTTCATATGGTATTTCCAACTGGCGCAAGGTAGGTAGGAGAGGTATGGCGCGTTAAGATTGATACGACTATAATCGTATAAGCGGTGTCAACGCCAATAAAGAGGAAGAAGATTGTTTTCTTTTGGTATCAATGCGATCGCTCGGCTGTGTTCGGACGAAAAAATATCGCATTTGCCATTTCGGACTTAAGAAAGTGAAGTGAGCTGGCGGGTTGTGACATCATGCTTTCCTGACATATATTGGCTCAAATGATGGGAAGCCTACTTGCAGGGGAATTATTAAATATTATAAGGTGTGTCGTCTAACGCAAACTTGACGATTTTATTTAAGATTAGCAACTGTGGTTTGAAATAAAAAAAGTTCCACTACCGAATTAGGAATTCCGCTCTTCAGGAGTAAATTAAGATAGTCAGTTCTTAATTTGCTTTTAACACTATTGCTTTCAGTTATTGTGCAAGTGATGTCATCTTTTGTACTACTTCAATGTGAATGAGCGCTTTTCGTCATGACGATTGGGTTGATTATTTTAATGCATTGCCAAAGATATCCTATGGAATCATAATTCATTTTTGGCTGGGAGCATTTTAAGGACAATTGATTTTTTCTTTTTTATATCGCAAATATTTTCAAAAATGTTTCCATACTGCTTATATATAAGATTGGTGTTTATTCAACTTAACATACATATTAATTATTTTATAAATAGTTTTAATTCTATTTTTTACTATTGGTTATTTGGGCTTAGTTAGCAATCTTTAGTGAAAATATATGCATGTACATTGATGCATTTACGTGCTTTGATCAGTCTTATTAAGCAACAATAACGTCACTTGTTGTTTCTTCTAGAACATCTACAAAGTGTTCATTCATGGATCCGCTATCTAAGCATTCTTTTACAATTTCCGATTCCACCTCTTCAATGCTTTGTGCCGAATCCAATTTCACGAAGGAATGACGGGTACGAGTGCTTTTTAATTTGCGCATCGATTCCATTTCTTCCAGTGTCATAACAATCTCGTGTTTCACTTTTAAATGAACTTTAAGCCTGCAAACAACAAAATTTACATACATACATACATACATATGTACATATAAGAAACTATCGAATAATATTGTACTTACTTTGACTTCTGCGGATAACCACGATTGCAGTAGGTGCACCTAAACGGCATACCCGTATGTGAAAAGCTATGATTCCTTAACGATATTGTATTTTTGAAAACCTTACCACACCCCTCTTCCGGACAAATGTAACGTAAATTATTATGTTTAACTTGCATATGCGATGTGAGATGACCCTTTTGAGCGAATCTCCGCTCACATTGTGAGCATCCGAAGGGAAATTGTCGCGTATGATAACGCATATGCACCTCAAGTGTCTGTGGAATGGCAAATTTTTTATGGCACAACATACATTCAAGTGGCTGGAATTCATCACGTGAACAATGCATCTGCTTATAGTGTAGCTCACAGGACTGGCGTGATATATATGTACGATCACACCCTTCAGATGGGCAGGAAAAGCGCGGACGATCTGGTTCATGCATACGCTGATGCCATAACATTTTACTTTGGCTAGGAAATGTCTTTGAACAATAAGCACAACAAATACGTTTTTCCCGTTTGGTGTGTATTATTTTTGTTGGTAGACTTTGAATTTCCGCAAGCTCAATATTAGCTATTTGACTGTCGTAAACCGCATTTGGCGATTTCAGGTATTTGTTGGGTTTCATGGAGTCAGAAGTATTCGTTAAACTATACTGGACAGGAACTTTGACGTCTTCTGTCTGATGTGACTGATGATTGAGGTTTGAGTCGGTAAAAATGCTCGAAGTCTCATCAGTTATTAGTTCAGGTAGGATTATATCTTGAGACTCCGAGTGGGCTTCTTTAATTATTATATATTCCATTTGTTCTAAAATAATTAAGAAATAAAAACTGAATTAATGGCTTCTTATTTTAATGCAATTTTTTATTATTATCATTTTTTTTTTTTGTTTATAAATTTTATTAGTGTTATATGAAGTAATATCTAACTCAGTAGAGTACTGATATAATCACTATCATTGATTATTACTAAGCTCGATGTTTATTTATCGGCAAAAGTAGCGCCGTAGCTTTAGAGACAGCTATACCAGTGAAAGCTATAACGTTATGGGTTAAAATATACAGAAAAAAAAGGAGGTCGCGGCAAATAGCCCGATAGTTACTAGTTGCGATGGCTTGGGTGATGTGAAACACAGTTAAATTGTGGTTAATCTGTCTTACTGGGATGGTGAGTATAGATATATATAGTTTTTCGTACTTTCCCAGCCGACAGGAAAAAGATATCAGACGATATTCGAAGGGCTCACAATACATATCTCTCAATATTAATTTACGCAGCAGTAAATGACAAATCGATTGTTTGCAAAGATACTACTATTTGTAATATGTTTTCACTTAAAATAAAACAAAAGTTTTTAATTTTATTTTTACATTTAATATAAATATTATATTAGATAATATCATTACACCTACACTATTTATCTTGCTCCATATTTATCAAGTCTACACAGCTTAATTTTTGTATATTAGCATACTGTATACATATATCGTTATCAGTACGATATTTTCATCTTATTATAAAAGCGCATAAGCCAAAAAATAGAAAAATTCTCAGTAATCATCTAGATCATCGCCTTCAATTTCAGCACATTGCTTTTTAGAGTCAGGTATTAGCGCCGGTTGTAGTTGCGCTTTCAGCTTAATCTCTTCTCCAACTAACATGCAATCCAGCTCGTCTAGCGTATGCTCGATACCATGTATTCGACTTATGTGCCAGCGAAGTCTAAAAAATACCAAAACTAATGTTACATATGCACGTATATAGATATATGATAAATAATACATATGAGGTTTAGAAATAAAAGGGTTGAAGATCCACTTTTCCACATATCAATCTATTTAATGGTATATTTCATTCAATTCAAACAGATTAATTATTGTAATTCCGTTTTAGTAGTGCCAATTAATTATTAAAATAAAAAAAGTTGAAAGGTTGAGAATATAATATATATCATATTTTTATTTCGAATATTTTAAATAATTTTTCTTTAATTTATTCAATATATGTATATATATGTGAATTTTTATTAAAAAGGGAATAATTTATATTCAAAAAGTAGATATTCATATACCCTTTGCTCTTCATCTCATAAATTGGTGTCTATTCTCACCTGCCCTTGGTTGCGAAATACTGTTGGCAATAGTCACAGCGATAGGGCAACTGATCGGCATGCGTATATGCATGATTTTTAAGCGCATGTGCAGTTTGAAACATTTTGCCACAATTTTTCTCTTCACAGATGAAACGCTGACCTTCGTGCTTTGTTTTTACGTGATTATTAAGATGTTGGGTCATCATAAATGGCTTGGCGCATATATGACAAACAAATGGATAGACTTTTTTATGGAAACGTAAATGTACTTCATAATTAGCCCGTCCTACGCATGTTTTCTCGCAAAATTCACATTTGAAGACGGGATAGGATTGGCAAGACACACGTTGCTTATGACGTTCCAACTGTTGGTTAGTACCAAACTCTTTTCCACATTCCTTGCACTTAAGCGGTGGTTTATTAAAGCGATGTTTGCGATGCCGATGAGATGCCAAAAGTGAACGTGTCGGACTTTTATGCTCACAGTATTCGCACTGAAATGGTGGACCCCCAGGAATAAGTGGCACACGACCACGCTTACCACTTTTGTTAGTTGTTGTGTTTTCCGCTTTCACAGTGGACGGTGTTTCTTTGACTGGAGGTGTTTTAGAAATTATATCCGGATTTTCGAAAAGATATTCTTCTAAATTTATATCATCAGTATCGGATGGTGGAGCCAAGTTTATTAAAATGTTTGATCTATTGCCATTTGAAGAATCAGATTGTTCTTCATCTCCGTTATCTGCCGAAAATTGTAATGAATCTTCTTCGAACTTCACTGTGCCATTAAAAGGTACTTTCACATTGTCTAGAATTTATATTATAAAGATTTGAATGACACATTAGTTGACTGATGCGTCCATTCGCATTTTACTACATTGAATAAAAATGTGGAATGTATGAAAAAGCATATGCATGAATGAATACATATAAATAAAAAGCTATTTATTTCTATGTTTGAAAAGCAATCTTTATTCGATTTTTATACTAATACAAGTTAAATGTAATTTAAACTATGGTTTTATAAATTAATATTTATTTTTTTCTTTAAAAGTAATTAGTTATATTAATAGTCTTCTATGATATCTTAATTAAATTCAATTTCGAACGCATCACATGAAATTTCCGCATATCTTCCATTTGTTCAAGAGAAACTTCAATACCATGTTTCTGGCGAATATGCACTTTCAATCTATAAGAAAAAGCATTTCAGTATTTTATATTAACTATAGAGTGCTAAATTTTATACTCACTTGGCTTTAGCCGGATAACCACGCTTACAGTAGGAACATTCAAATGGCATCATACTGTGCGAAAACTCATGGTTACGTAGCGATGCAGATGAGGTGAAATATTTACCACAACCAGGATGTTCACATGAATAACGTACACTGTTGTGTTTAACATTCTTATGGGTATTCAGATGGCACATTTGTGCAAATTTCTGTCCACATATATCACAAACATAAGGAAAATCACCAGTATGAAAGCGCATGTGCACTTCAAGTAGCTTTTTGATGACGAAAACTTTATCGCATACCGAACATTTGAGGCCACTTCTATTGTGATACGTACGTATATGTACATCCTTGGCTTGTTTTGTAGCATATAAACGACCACACTCCTCGCACTCGAATTTCGGACGATCCGGTTCGTGTGAACGTCGATGTGTGATCATACGTGAACGATTTTTGAAAACTTTCTGACAATATTGGCAACTGAATTTACCCATATAACGGCGCCGTGATTTTAGAATACCCTCTTTGTTGATTACTACTGGGGCTATATCCACTTTAGCAACGTTGGGTGGGTTATCTATTGGGATAATACTTGTGGTTTCCGCTTCGAGATTGATTTTTTCACTTTTGTCTTCAACTCTTTCACATTCTATAGTCAGTATATCACTAACATCATCACTCAAAAAAGATCGTCTACTATTCATATATATTTCCGGTTGACTTGTTTGATGCACCTGGACGTCTAATACCTCCGGGTTGGAGCCATTGTTTAAATTAACCTTTTTAACTACGTAGTGATCGTCATTTATTCTTATTTGTACTGTTTCCGCATCTGTTCATTAAATGAATTATAGAAATTAAAAGGAAAGTAATGCAAATAAACTCAAAACTATTTAACTTTAAAATTTTAACTACAGAAAACTGAAAATTCATTCAGAAACGATGGAGGAAACATTACAAATAATTCTGCATTAAAATTTTAAAGTTCTTTTTTACATACACATGTATTTATATTATTGTGCAAATAGAAGAACATAAAAAAGCTGTACTTTGTTCCGAGTGATGGTATTCAATCCGTCACAAAAGTACTGCGAAATATATTTGAGCAGAGATTTCGAAGCTATGTAAGCTTTTAATTAATTGATAATTACTACAGACTATTTTTATATGATTTTTTTTTCATTTATATATGTATCTAGGTAATGATCTGCATTTTCGAACTCCAAACCTAACATATTATATATATATAGACCCCCGAAATCCAAAATCTCAAAATATAATACTATGTACATATATCTTACCTTCATCCGCCAGCTCTTCAACTGACTGATATTCTTCGATATCTATGTGTTCTTCAAGCTCTTCGTAATCTACAGGCACGTCCAGATGTTCTGTGGCATCCCCTTCTGCAGTTGCAATATCATTATCGATTTTTTCCGTTGTCGACTGTGGCACCCCCTCTACTATTTCCTGCTCAAGTGGTATTTCTTCTGCACCTAATTTTGTTTCTAATGCTTGTTCTTTAAGGTTTTGTGTCTTATCTATTTGCATTAGAAACTTTTTCGACTCTTCTACCTTTTTGTGGAAGTCATATGCAACCTGTAACTCCAAGCCACAGGATTTGCACAGTTGTTGTGGCTTATTAATTCCATCAGCGCGCAAATCAATTTGTGTGCATATAACGAAACAATCGTAGTAGGTCAGTTGCTCCTCTTCATCGTAAATGAGTTCTAGATTCAGTACCTGAGTCTCATCTGGTAGTTGCAAACATAAGCGGCAATAGTCCGAGAGATCAACATATTCCGTCGTCATGAGAGATGAAGATATATCTCCTTCGTCTGTTTGCATATCGTCTTATATATAATGTGTTTTCTATTTCACATATAACAATTTTCTTTTCCAACACAAGTATTATATTAGTTGCAAACAAATCCACTAATATTTATTTTTTACTTTTTGAAGCTCGTTCAGTGATGGCAGATTTTGACAGTGTTCTGCCTGGATAGCACGCACTATTTCGATGTTGCCACATTAGGGGCAGTTGTGCTGAAATGCAACCATGCATTATGTTCTGATTGTTTTGTCATTTGTGTTTATGTAAATAAAAAAAAGTCGGAGGGCACTCGATTGCAACGAAATTGCATTTAGAATATATTTTCAAATTAAACGTAATTAATGACTGACAACGTTACAACATTTGAAATGATTACTTCTTCCGCATTCCCTTCAGTTACGAAGGAAAATTTTGCAAATTTTGCGAATACAACGTTAATGCAAACTGCAAATGCATCTAGAACAACAACAACAGAAACCATAACCACAGATGATACTACGCCAACGGATACGGATATTGAGCGGGATGATAGCGGACTATTTATTTTAATACCATTCGCTGTAGTTTTAGTTATTGTAGTTTTATCAGCACTGGTGAGTAAAAATAACTCTTTTACTTTACTTTAGGTGCGATTTTGAACCTACTTTACTTTGTGGACGGTACTATGTATTTAGGTATTCTTAATTGGGCGCAATCGACGACGGCTTGCACGCACCTATTGTCGTCGAAGGCACGAACATAAACGCAGATATGGTGATGATTCTGATACAGCTATGGATCATGGCGAGGCATATGACTTCGATGATCCAAGCGAATGTCTACTAAAAGGAAAACTTCAAATCGATAATGTAAGTGAAATATTAAAAAAGAAGGTTATTTGTTGGAAATAATAAATACATTCGTTACAAATATCTCTCCTCACTTCAGAGATACGACAGCAATATGAGTAAAAGCCTTTACACTTAAATGATTTTTATGGTGACAAAGCTGGATACCTGATTGTATTATCTCCTTTAATGCATAGTGTCTTTGGAATCAATGTTCAAAGAACATATAAAAAACTCTTCAACGACGAGATCCATTCGGAATTATTCTCTTCGTGTTAAATGTATGTGAAAATAATAAACAAAATAATTGCTTTAATCAATAAATCGATTTGCTTTAATGAAATAAATATTTTTATTGAGTGTGTAATTTGTACAAATATTACTACTGGGATTGATTTTCGTTTATTCATGTACTATGATATTGCCTGAAACTCCTTGTCTGTAACTTACATGCTAAATATTTGCGTTATCAGTCGAAGTATTACCACCTAATAATCTGGAAGTAAGGTCATAAAAACCAAAGAAAAAGGCACCACCTAATGTTATCCACAGCACTCGTGGGGCTAAACCTGCGAAAATACTAAAAGAACGACCGATATGAATATGGAACCAATATTTAGGAAATTATTTTTTCCATTGATTTATTTTTACTCACCCCGCCAGACCACGTTCTCTATAAACGTTCGTTAGTACAATACGTGGACTTAACTTCTTCGTTGCAGTACCTTGTTCAGCAAGCATAATACGGGTCTTCGCAACATCCAATGGAGTGGTGAGGCCGGCTGCAATGCCACCCGCCATTGCACCGCACAATGCAACAGTAAAGGGAGACGATTCAATGCCAGTTACATCAGTCCAATGTAATTTAAAGTACTCCCATAGCGGAAATTGTATTAAGCTGAATGGTATTTCACGCATGACTGTCGTACCAAACCCACGATAGATGCCCCTTTTCAGCCCCTCCATTTTATATGCACGCCAAAGAATTTGTAGGGCAGTAGTTTTCTGTGTGTTGCCTAAAGTTTGTCTTCTCTGCTTGGCAATTTCAACTGGTACACGAATAAGACAAGCCAACTACAAATAAAATTCAGAACATTTTTTGCCGCCATACCATATAATAATTTTAGTTATAAGTATTAACTAAAGGCCTTGTTTATTTGTATGAATTGAATATTTTGTTATACAACAAAGAAACATGGTAGAAGTGTCAGCTGTTTCGGAGATCACCACATCTCCTCATCAGACTTCTTATGGCAGAGATCGAACCAACGGATCCTGACTTAAATAACAGGCGAGTGCTCTACCCCTGCACCAACATCAGCCATATAATCTGTTGTTGTATTATTCAATTCATTATTGTCAATATATATTTTTATATAATAATTAAAACAAGCTTACAACTTCTGCGCAAGATGCGGAGGCCATGTGTATATATGGAGAATTCACGGCACCAGTGGCACTGCTTAAATAACGCTTGAAACTCTCATAGCTACAAAAGAACAGTGCTGCGGTTGGAGCACTGCCAGCAGCAGCTGGGGCTAATCCTTTGTATATTCCGCGAAAACCTCCAGCGCGTATAAAACCTAATTCACTTTGCAAACGAGTTTTTACAGTATCTATAGGAAAGAGAGCGATGTCAACAACAACTCCAGCTACACCGCCTGCCTTAAAATAGAACCAATTAACTAGAACTGCATTTTTGTTATATTTCCATTTCTTATTACCACGAGAGAGTTGAAAAATGTATTATTATAAGAAACCACATTACTCTCGCTCATATTTACTTCCTGAAGATGACGTTAGCTGTCCGTTTTTCAGATTATGTAGATCCAACACTTATTTGGTTTCAGACATCACCTAAACCCCGGCGTATATGCTTTTTGTTAAAATATAACTTGGAGTTTGACTTGTGGCAGTGATTTATTACAATCTCTTCGGTCGGATGAATGCGATAATCAGCTGTAGCCTTATCAATACAGTGTTCACTTAATGATTATAATTAAAAGTTGGAATTGCAACTTTAGCCAGGGTAACCAGGAGAGAAAAACCACTGTTTTACATGTGAATAAGTAAGTTATAATCAGCAGATTCTCTAGCCAGAGACATTAAATGAAATGTAGAACTTCATATACATATCGATATCTTTGTAAATGCATTTAATACCGTTAGTTAATTAAAAATGTCGCTTATGTGCGTACAAAAATCTTTAATTTTACGGTTAATTTCATGCCAATGTCAGAATATATGAAGACTGCTTCATGACGTTTCAAAATCATGTGAAGATTTTCTTAGCTATGCAGTTATCCTTCTTGACTTTAAACCTTATCTGAATTATAAAAACTAGTTTGCGACAATTGTTGGAAGCTGATCACACCAAAGTGGACTTCGGAACTAAAGCCCTAACAATACTAATTCAAGTTCGAAAAAATGAAAGTCAAATAGTTCCCTAGAGATAAAAAAAAGCAAAACACTTATATATTCGCCTGTATCCCGTTATTACTTTTATTCATTTGCAATATGTATGGTACTTATTTTTTATGATAAAACACATTATTATTCGTTCTTAATAATACATCAATTAAATTGTATTTAATTTCATTTGTGGCTAATAAACATTGTTTCTCCTTAAGTTTGTTCGATTATTGTTAGCACATATAGAGCAATTCATTATTTTTAGTATGTATAATTTACACTTTTTTCCTGCTATTTCTCGTAAATATTTATGTATATTTCTAACGTATGTTTTTACCCCATGTGCTGCAGCTGCAATTGATGGCCATTTTGTTTGACTAACCCGGTTGGTCACCATGTGGTGTGGGCTGCTACTGCTATGTTTAGTATTTGTTGTTGGTGGCTTAAAAATTGAGTTCTTGTTGTATGTGGAACTTCACTTTATCTGGCAATTAAGTTCAACGAAACGAAAGTTGCGGTCATACGCATAACATAATCAAATGTTTAGTTGTTCAGTCTACGGGTATAACGTTGGTGTTTTCCCGTGGATTATTTATGGAAATTTATTTTTCGAATGCTGGCCCACTGATAAATCCTTTGCAACACCACAATGGACATTTAGAATTGTTGATTACTTTTAACTATTTATATGACATGTAATGGCTTATGTTACTACTACGCTTCTTCCGTCTTCAGTTTTAAAAATGTTTAGTGAGGCTCATCATTTTTATTCGAGCGCTTGGTGTTCCTACATACCTACATACATAGGCATAGGCAAGTATATTGCTCTGAAGTGATTTTTTTACTTGGATAATAGTATATGCTTAATTAACTTTTTTATAGCTTTATATAGAAATGTTTTCGTTTTTTTTTATGTATAATATAGTATATTTTAACTGAATTTTTCATTTGTTGGTATGTTCAAAACAGCTTTGTAAACATTTTACTAAAGGGTGAGAAATGATCGGGTTTTTATAAGTTATGTACGCTATGTATATACTTGATGTTTGATGTATAGTATATAATTTTGTTTGTTATTTTTATATATATGTATGTCGACTTCCAGCAGTTAATGATATAATAATCGTCAACGGCGTGGTTGTTTTATAGGAGCAGGGATAGGTGGATGTAAGTTGGTTGGTTGGTCGGTTGGCTACTTTGTATCTTCATTTTATCTAGAACCATTCCAGGGGGAAACGGGGCAATGCTCTTGGTCTGTTTTTGTCAATTAATACGCCCCTAACCAATCTAAAACACCAGCGTCATTTTGTTATTCGCCATTACTTTGTGCCTTTTGCTCATCCTCAGATTCCGATTCTATGAATTGAATTGAGAAATACATACATATAATACATGTTATTCATTTCAACGAAAAGATATTGTAAAAAACAGTAAATTTTGATTTGTTTGTTTGTAAAAGTCTTCATTGGCCTCGTAAATCTATGTTTTACAAGATTTCAAGGCAAGCAAAAGCTTTAAACATTAATTTGGCATTGTGTTTTAAACAAATGATCGTGTTTATTTTTTAGCGAACACAATCATTTTCGGCAATGCCATATAAATCTATATACAAATTGTTCTTATACAAACCTTCTTCAGCTGATTGCAGCCATTCGACAAATTTACGCATTTGTTCAAGGAAATGCATTTTACCCTTAGGGGAGTGAGCTTCTTTGTACCATCGGAGAATGCTCTCTTCGGATATTACCTCAGCTATAAAAAAAAAAAAATTAAATATGTATTTTTTTTTATCATTTATGTAAACTAAATGCGCACATACTTTTGTAGAAGAGCAATATGATTTTTTGGAAGGCTTTCATGAAGTTCATGTTCTCATAACAGAATTCCTGTACCTTCAGAACCAAATTTAACTCAGAGCGATCGGTAGAGGCAAATGACTGCAACAATGGGCAATAAGCTTTGAGGTGACGCACCGCTTGATCGGTGACCAACTCTTCTTTCTTATTCCATTCGCCAAGTGACATTACAGTTGACCAAATCTATACAATTTCGAACACATTGAAGATATAAAACAAAATAATTTAATTAAAATTAAATTTTTAACACTTACAATGATAATAATCTCGTGATCGGGAATGTTATTGCGCTGTGCGAACTCTTTAATATCTGCTGTGATTTCCGAGTGTGCCTTCTCGTCATGTATATCATCGATTAGCGTTTGTTGGAGTTCACGCTTTGCTTCCTGACTGGCCTGCGCTTTGTGTAATTTTATGATTTCAGTTAGATCTTTTTCAAGAAAAACTTGTTTTAAATATTCCTCAGTACGTTTGTTTGGTGGGAAAAAGTCCATTAGTCTGGAAGATTCAGTTAAATAACACATTAAAATTAATGAAATTAATGAAATCAGCATTTGTACATTTTAAACTATATATGTACATATGTGTATTTGTATATAAATACGGAATTTATTTATAAAATAACTATCGTAAACTAAGTAAAAACCCGAGCACATTAAATGCTTCGCGAATTCAACAAAATTTACATTTTACTTTAGGAGAGTTAATTAATAAAATTAAAAAGAAATATTAATTTCAACCTGAAACTCTCCATATAATATAAGGAACTTGTATTTATGTTTAGATTTGTAAGAGTAGTTATTGGCCAAAATTACTATGTGTAGCTAGAAATTTGGACACCCAACCACTTTTGTATTGGTCTTGCTCACTTGTACAATGAAATTGATACATCAAATAAATCAAAGCCATTCTCAAAGTGAGCAACTCATTAAATACAAATACACATGTGCATAGTATATTCCACAGATAAACATGTTGGTAAAATTTGTACGAAATCAAATTTAAACCCGAATATGTGAAAACATATTCGCGAGTATAATAAAATTTCTCTTTGCTCTTGGAGAGTTAATTAATGAAAATAACACGACAAATATACTAATTTCAACCTGAAACTCCCCTTATGAATGCGCTCAAAGTTGTCATTTGCAGAGAGAACTGCTTAAATGTAAAAGTGATTATTGGCCAATTTTTCTATGTGATAAAGAACTTTGGACACCCAATCACCATCAGTTTGATCTTGCACACTTGTACAATGAAATTGACATATCTGTGTTTCCCACAGAGTCAAAACCATTCTCAAAGGGTGCGAAAAGCAACACGATATAAACAAAGCGGGTATTTGTTAGAAATTAAAAGAATCGTTACGCAGTGTTAAAGCAATTATTGGCCAATTTTTCTATAGGAAAAAGAAGTTTGGACACCCAATTACTCAATTTGCTCTTGCATACCCACACAATTAAAATAAGAGAAATTTCATTATTTTTTCTGTTCAATAAAGTATGCATAATACATATAATGTTTAATATGTTAACCAAAATTCAATAGAAATTACTTAATGTACAATGTCAAAACGGTTATTGGCCAATTTTTCTATTACATAAGAAGTTTGGACACCCAACTGTTTTATTTGCTCTTGCAAACTTGTACAATGAGTTTGATATTTCGATTTCTAACGAATCAAAGCCATTCTCAAAGTTTGCTGAAAAAATATATTATATATATGAGTATTTTACGAGAGCGTTTAAATCATATCATCGTTATTAAACCCACTTCAAATTGTCGATATTGTTGCCGATATTTGATTTTGTAAAAGCGATTATTGGCCAATTTTTCTATGATATGAAGAAGTTTGGACACCCAATCGCTATACTTTACTCTTGCACACTTATACAATGAAAATATGTTGCAATTCATAAGATTCATTGTGCAAAAAAAGTGTGCGTAATCGAGCTCAAATAATATATACTACATGGTGGAATATACTTAGTTACATTAATAATTGTGTAATGTATTGAATTCAAAATGTAAGGCTATAATTTATGAAAAAAAAAAAAGAAAAACGAAATTATCTTTACTTACTTGCTTTCAAGTCCACCCTTTTTAAGTGCTTGAACTAAATATGCAATGCCCTTCTCTAGTTTAAAAGCGACAAACACTTCGATAAGGAAGTCAAGAGCGATGCCATCCTTAATCAAATGCTCGTTGTTCAATACCAACAGAACATTTGGGGGCACTGAGCCATTAACTGCAATTAGACGAGAAAGAATAGAATTTTCAATAAAATACGACGACTTATGATGCTTTACAAAATAAAAGCATGTTATTCGGCTTGTGTCTTTTACTCTTGACAAAAGTAAGTAAAAGTCAGTACACCAAAATAATTACTATTCCAACAATTTATTAGTTTAAGCATTTAACACCAGCTAAAACCAAATATGGTATGGTTGGAATGTAAGAAAAAAAGTAATAAATAAATTAAACTAACATTAATAATAATGGAATAGTTCATACCTAACCAGAGCGCTGTCATACGCGCAAGTTTGGTACGTTCACTCGGAGTAAAACCTTTAATGAAGACTAAAACTTTCTTCATTTCCTCCTCGAACATCTTCTCCAAGTACTTATATCGACGCATGAGCTTGACGAATACCTGCAAATGATTAAAAAAAAAAATCAGTTTTACATATAATTTAAATATGTGACGGTCTCTAATTTTCAATTTGTCGCAATATAAGAAATCTTTGAAATGCATTTTTTTGATACATATCAAAGACAAGTAAAGATATTACGTTTGATATCGCATACATTCGACACCATCTGCCGCAACGTGGAGCAAAGAAATTGCCAGTCGGCGGACGGCTCTAATTGTACGCTGAAATTTATCTTAGCTAAAACATAGTTAAATACAAATTTTGTCGTAACACAAGAAATCTTTAAGATGCACTTTGTTGAAACATATCAAAGACAAGTAAAGGTGTTACGTTTGATATCGCATACATTCGACACCATCTGCCGCAACGTGGAGCAATTAATTGCCAGTCGGCGGACGGCTCTAATTGTATGCGAACTAAATCAACAAATATTTTAAAAACAAAACAATTTTCATTACCTGCTCATGGCTACGCATTGTCTCAATGTCTTCATTTGCTTCAAATATGCAATAACTTGTGCGGGGCTTCTCGCCATCCTGAGAGATTGATCCTCCCGGAACTGTAAATAATTATACATATTAGCAATCAGATCGGATTTGCATCAACACTTTTAATACACACCTAAGAGACCACCAGCAATTAATATATCAAATAGTACTTCGCCGTAGCGACGATAATCAAGTTTGTTACCAGCGCTGTCTAGATATTTAGAGATTTGTTCCAAGTCACCTTCTGTTTTTTCGAGACCAGCAATGACCGCATCACGGAATCCCGTTGGGTCATATTTCTCTCTTTCATCTTTTGAAGAAGAATATTTTTATATGTATCGAAATATTTAGAATATACAGGTAACTTATATTTATTATTATTATCACTTAATTTTGCATAAATTAAGTCTTACCTCTTTTTCTGGTCTTGATGCGCTGACCTGATAGTACTGGTCGTTCAATTTTTTGACTCATACAATAAATTGCTGTAAAAAACAAAAAAAAAAAATTAACATTAATAATGTATCTTACATTTTTTCTTCACTTTGAATTCTTTCAATCTCTCCCTCATCTCAAGACATTAAATGGTAAAATTTCAAACAAAAGTGAAAGTATTTGTTTTTAGCATTACAAGTATAGAGTACAATGAAGTTTTACTATATCAGGATTGATGATAAATTAAATGCATTCTAACCTCATTTTCAGTTTTTTTTTATAGCATGCTCTCCATTCTGGTAAAACGTGCATTATTCATACTGTAAAGCGCGTTATAAAAAAAAGTTGGAGAGCTACTTGGAATTCTCCAATTTTTTTTTATCGAGGTCAACATCAATCAAATAGAAATCTTATATATATATTCTACTACTCTTTACAGCGCTTTATATGGTAATTTTTTAATACGCGAGATTTTGAAACACTTGATAGGACCCCTCCCTAAATATAAATGTTTCATACGTAAACTTACAAGTTTTAGCTGCGGTAAAAAAAAGCGGTAATTGCCTTTCGTCGAACTTCCGACAATTATTTGACCTCAAACACAATACACTCAGCAAATTATTTTCTTTGTTCGCTTTAGAAATTTGTAGAAATCACAATCTAGCGGGTTCGTTCACTAATCAACTGCAGCAAAGACCTTCTACTTATTGTTACCTCCTCTTTCTTTCCTCTTTTTCTCTTCGAATCTTTTTTACGTCCGTCTCTTTATACACTCACTGAATCTGACACGCATGCACAAATTATTTGCATAAATGTCTTTACTTTATTAGTTTTAATTTAATTTTTTTTATTTGTATCACAATCAGTTACTTTCTTCTAAATAAAAGTAAATTATGCGTAGAATTAAAAAATAAAAACGGTAGTTTGGCGAAATGTGCGCCGAAAAAGTAAGATCACACGTCTATCTCCAAACGGTACAAACGAAGTGAAAGAATCAAATTGATGATAACGCAAAGGCAGTAACTAGTGTTGCCATATATATTAAATAAATGAAAATTGCAATTGTCTTTATGTAAAAAAAAAACCCTTCCAATTGAAAAGCCAATTTGTACTTATTCCAGATATTTAAGTGATGCTGGCATTAATAACACTCATCGTTATTTTATATATTAATTTGAGTAATTTTTCCCTTTATTGAAATTTGAAACCAATAAAAATAAAATCCTAAATTTGATTCAATTGATTTACGCAAGATAATAATACCATGCATAAATCAGAAAAATATTTTATTTACGATTAAATGATATACTTTGATCATAAAAATTATCATTAGAAATGGCAGCTCTGTAGTACTTTCGAAAGTGAACCGATTGGATTCGTGCACTGCCGCCATTTTCATTTTCCTTTTAGATTATTCCTAACAGTGTTGTATTTCGAGTTGTAACTTTATGTGGGCAGTGAAACGTGTTGACCTTTCCCCTCGCCAGGTTTTCTATATACATCCTAACAGTGATTACCTGACCACAAACGACCTAGTTTTCTTTAAATTATTTCACAAAATTATCTTCAAATAACCATTTTGATTTAACAACGAAAATATTTTAGCAAATATAGGTAGTATTTCCGCTTGACCCACATGCTTTTCTATACGAATTTCTACACTTAAATCCACCATCTTGAATGAATCAGCAATCACAATCTTAAAGAATATGGCGAATTTCAATAATATATTTCTCCATACACATCCATTTACATTATTATTTCATAACTATATATACCAAAACTATTTAGCATACTTACGATTAAAACAAAAAAAAATTTAGCTCGGCCGAGAAAATGTATTAAAACTTTGCCTGAATTATAAACGCACCACTAGTTTGGTTTAATGCAGAATGGGAAGTAAAAAAAATCACGAGAAAATTTTTAAAGTTTCAGCTATTCGATTGCGTACGAAAAGAACGATTGCAAACTTATTGTGAAAGCATTTGCACTATGAACGTGCGAAAGAAACAGCAGTATTCTTTCGTGAACATGAATAACCGTTTCGAGCTGTGTTTCACAAACATACCGAGACTACCACGTTTCATTGCAAATGTAATAAATCCAATATTTTATGAAATTCCGTTCTATAAATCTTTGACAATATTATAACTAATTACGCAAATGAATTGGTGGAAACGGTCTAAAATTTCAACATCCAAAACAGTAAAACATAGTTATTACATTAACCATATATTTAGACAAAGTATATTCACTGTAGCAAACCAACTTTCTATCGTTTAAGCTTTATGATAATTAATTCTAATTTCAATTGAGAGAACTTGCCTATGAAAATCGATAGTCCAATCACTATGAAATTTAATAAATATTTAGCACAAGCACTCTCGATTATGATTTGTTTACCTGGCCACTAATCAGGTCTGGATACTGTAGCAAGTTAAACTCCTTCTTATTCAGACTAGATCCCAGAGAGTCTCCGCACGACACTAACCACCTCCTCACTTTTAAACCAACTCATCTAACCTGCGACTTATATTAATCACACCTGTGCCTAAACGGGGTTAGGGAACCGCTACAACAACAAAAAACATGATTAAATTTTTAGAGTTTACAAAAATAATCACGAATCAAATAATGTACATAAATTTGTATCTAAATGCAAAATATTTTGTACCGTGTATATGAAAGAAAATCCAATAAGAGCTTAGCTTTGTTTCAATGTCATTGACATCTTCTACCGTGAACTGTTTGAAAAAGGTTATAGTGAACAGCACACAAATTTACACAGTTTTTACCGATCATATGTTATTGTAAATAAAAGTTTTTTTTTATTAAAATTGTGTATAAAAATGTCCAATTTATTGCGTTATTTCGGGCAAGCCGTTAGCCGGAACATAAATCAATCCAAACGACATATATCAACCACAACTCCTACATTAATTAAGGAAAGTTAGTATTAGATGAAAAGAAATCTGCTGCCATTGTTTCATAACCTTTATAAAATAACTAATAAATCTTTTATTTGCAGTTCATGAAAAAGTCGAAAAGAATACGCTTGTCCTTGAAGGACTGCAAGTTGCCTCGCCACGTGCAAATCAAATGTTAAAAGAAGCATGCAGTACTCGTTTTTGTCCAGAATGCACGCTAGGCCTGAACGTTAAACATACTGATGTTTTGATTTTGTCTCAATATGTACGTTCTGATGGTTGCATGCTACCTCGACGAGTTACAGGATTATGCAAAAAACAACAGAAACGAATCGGCACACTAGTAACTATGGCCCAGAAGGCAGGTTTGATGCCCAATCTGGCGCCAGAGTGGAGTAAGAAAGATCCAAAGAAACGATTTGGATGGAAAAAATATAATAAATACTTTCTTGAAGAAACGATAAAATACTGAACATGCGTTATAAATCTATGTATGTAAATAAACACTTGTTGAAATTAAAATTCTAAACTTTCTAATGCTTTCAAGTCTTTCCACACAAAATATTAACCAGTACGTTAACAAAAACATGAGAAGAGCAGCACTTTTCCACAGATAGACCTTTATTGAATTATCAATATCATAATAGGTGCTTCAAAAGGTGCTGCATATATGTTTGTACTTAGTACCTAATTTCATGCGTTATCGTTTATAATTAAACCGTTCCATACTGCAGCCGAAATACCCGTTCAATTATTTTGTATCTGCATTAAACTTTTATTTGTTTTTGATCATCGATATGTTTCTCAAGGGCAGCCAACATTGCATCCAGAAAATCAATCAACTCAATTTTTCCATTTAGATCAAAGTCGGAACTGGTGGTGTGTACAGCATGGGCCAAGAAAGGAAGCTTACGTAACGCTCGACCGCTTAAACCTTGGCTTCGCTCAGCCAAAGCTGATAATAATCCCTCATGGTTATCATTCTCTTTCAAAGATTGCTCCAATATTATTCCCACACGCATCATTTCATCTAACATTTTCGTGTAAATAGTTTTAATGGCTACGATATTCGGCATACCTATATATTGCTTGATATCTGCCCTATCTAAAAAGGCCAAATCTATTGTATCAGCCAAATTGGAGGTTGCTAATATCAAAACATTAGGATGTTCCTTAATTGCATCTAACTGGGTAAGCAGAGCATTAACTACACGCATAGCGTCCTTCGGCTCCTGTCCGGACATACAGTCACGTGCATATGCTAACGATTCAACCTCATCGATTAGCACACATACAAGATTGTTGGGATCAACTACGATTTCTCGAATTTTTGCAAACAGGCGCATAACTAATTTGCCACTTTCTGAAAACCATTTAGAAAATAAGCTGTGGCTATTAATTTCAATTAAGTGTGTATGACGAAAAGTGCGACGCACACGAATTGCTAGCTTTTGTGCAAGAGCTTTGCATAAGCTCGTTTTTCCTGTACCAGGTGGACCGTGTAAGAGTATTAAGCGATTGCAGGATATTATGTGTGGATTAACGCTGTGCTGAGAGAATATTAGCGCAGAAAGTGCGAACTTTAAGAGCTATATTATGAAGAATAGAAAAAAAAATGTTGAAACTTGCAACACGTTAATATAAATAAGACATACATACCTTCTCTTTTAAACCGTCTTCATAAATTAAATTCTCCCATGAATGCAAAAAACTGCTCGAAGGCAATAACCAATGATTGGATGCAGGTACCGCATCACACTCACCAGTATCACCCGAGTCAATATCGAATGTTTCTAGTTCCATAACGCGCCTCAATGGACTGTAGAAGTGCAAGCTTAAATTCTGTAAATCTGTTTCGCTAAGGACCTGCAAAAACACTTAAATTAAGTATATACCTAGTTCTATATCCTGCTGAAGTTACCTCGCCATTCTGCTTATTTTCACGTTCTATAAGAAGCGATTCAATCAATTTTAAATCTGCCAATGCTGAATTGCCCTCAATGATTATTTCATTAATTTTTACGGACTCGCCCAGTGGCACTTTCACCACTGCAATGTATTCGCGCACTGGTATTTCTAGCAAATTTTCTAATGTCTCAAGACGGCTGTAATACGAAGGATATGATAATTTTTGAACATTTTTTCGTACTCAAAAACTTACTTTTCATTTTGTTTCAAACATATTTCTACATGTACAGTGTCTTTTGCACTTAACAAATTCATATTTGACGTTAAAATCTACTTTTAAACTTTTTACAATCGCGGGAACAAACAAATTTCTCATGTGTGCTTCTTCTTGAAGGCATGAAACATAAAAACCGCAACGTTAGTTCACAATAAAAATATATTTCTACATTAGGCTACCAACTGAATTTAATAAGTGCGGTTTGGATGCAATTGCCAGAAAAGTAATGGGCAAGGCGAAGTTGTCACATCATATATGTTTGTTTGTTCTTCCTTCCATTTGAAAAAAATCCAAAAACAAAATACATGAGAAATAGGTTATGACATTACGAACTTTCTAATACACTACACATTAAACAAATTTCGAATCTATGATTATATAATATATAATTGGCGTGTGTAACCGCTGAAGCGATTTTCCGCCGAGCTCATCCTCCAAAAAAAAAAAAAAATACACAGGCTCTTTGTTTTTGTATTCCTGCTATTACCGTGTGCGAATTTACTTTCGTACTGACATGAAAATGAAATCAATAACAAAAGATAAGGTAAAAGTTTATTTGTGTCCTTTGTAAAAGTTCCATCAGTGCAGCCAATATCAGTGGAACACTGCATTGCACCTCGGCGGGTAAGATTAAATAAGGTCTTAGAGCTCATCTAATCCCTTGTTCGGATTAACTACAATAAGTCGAATCTCGTTCAAAAGAACTTAATGACAGAGTTCTTGAGGTACCAATCAAAGTTGTCACAAGTAAAGTCCTCCAAGAAAAATATTATAATTCAGGAAAGGTTGCTACACATTAGCATTATTATATACATATATTAATTGGCGTTTTGTAACCACTGAAGCGATTTGGCATGCCTATGGATTTTTATGAGTTTTTTTTTTGTGACAAATATATTTGGAGGAAATGTCAAGCCCATTTCCTGCCGAGCAGGGACCACAATTAGAAATATTTTTCTATAATTTTGGTGGTTGGTCAAACCAGAACTCTAACCACTCGGCTATTGCGGCCGACATAGTTCAGCGCATAAAGATTGTACGTAAAGGAAAATGAAAACCTCCTCTAGTACATACATATGTAACTTACCTCTTTGGCGGTTTTACTCAAAGCAATATTTCAACTATGAAGAGGATAAACACCAAAAGTAAAGAAAAGGAATGTATGACCAGCCAAGATGTTTTGAGACATTTGAGGCGCAAAGAGAAAATAAAGCGATTTTACAATTTTTTAGCAAGCGCATATCTGCTAACAGCGAAATAAAATGAAGCAAAAAACGTTACAGAGAACGAATTTTTTCTGCAACTTAACAGAAATGCCCCTGAGATATAAAGGTGCGCGGAAACGTATGTACAAATGTTTCCAGTAAGTATGCGTGTATTTCTTGGTAAGAACATATATGGAGCAGACAAAGGCGGCTAAATGTAAACGCCATATTGGTATGACTGTTATTTGCTGTTCGGAAGTGGATATACATTTATATAAGTAAGTATGTATGATGCCTGTATATCTAAACACCGTCCGGGAAGGAACCAAAAACAAAGAAGTAACAAAACCCAATTCAGTTTAAAATAGAATCCATTTATTTAAAGAGTGAACTCTTTTTTTTTTGAAAGAAAATCCTTCAGGCACCTCTTAAGCTGCGCATTTTTCGCATTTCAAATTCGTTAGCCAAACAATGCATTATTGGCTTTTCTTGAGCATATGTAGGTATGTACGTATGTACGAATTTGCTAATAAGAACATACTATACGAGTATATGAATGAACCATGGTATATTTGCGATACCCGTAGAAGAGCATTCCATCACAACGCAGTAGTCAAATGAATATGTTTATGTATAAGGAGTATCTATCTACATATGTACATACAACCCCGCAGTGAAGAGCTGAACTAGTTCTATAGTTCTGGTACCAGCATTTTAGATACAAGATATTTTTATGAGGAGCTTTCTATTTCATGTCAGAAATATACTTGGAGTACATGACATTCCCTGCCGAGATGCTAGCGAAATTAGAAAAATTATAATTTTGGATGTTGATCGAACCAAGACTCGAGACCTGGCCTTCAAAATAGCAGTACGTAACACTAACCACTCGGCTATTGCAGCCAAGGAAGAGATATATCCATCAAAATTTCCACCGATCGGGTTCGAATGGCTAGTTAAGTTTATCTAGCTATGCCACGTCCATCTGTTTGCACGCAAACTGTCCCTCACAGTTACATTTAACCGATTATTTGTCGCAACCAGCTGGATTGAAAAAAGATAACTATGTTGAAGAAACTCACTCACTCAGCGTACACGCTGATAGAGCCGATCTCCACCACAATACCAATACCAAGTTTTGTTAGCTTTATGGAACAATTCTTTTCATTGGAGATGCAACGGCACAACCATAGGTACATACATATATATATATTATTCAGTGGGTCACTAGTCGCAAGACCACACCACAAGACTTCAGGAAGTTTGCAAACGTACTCACGTTAAAACCAAGTCTTAGCTACATGACCATAGCACCAAAAAAAACCTTCCTTCCACTTCTTCTTCTTCTTTTTTACTGGCACATACACCGCTTACGTGATTATAGTCGAGCTAACATTTCTTCCTTTCGCAGTCTGACACCAATTGGAAATACCAGTTAGGCCAGCCAGGTCCCTATGCTCCTGGTCCTTTCAATCGAGTGAAGATCTTTCTCTTGGCTTTTTTGCTGCATTGCTGCATCGGCTGTGATGTTCTCGCTGTCAAAACGCAGATGATAGTAAATCTTACGAAAACCCTTTCTCTAAAAATCTTTATCGCCGCGTCATCAGATGTTGCCATAGTCTATGCCTCCGCATCATATAGCAGTAGAGGAATGAATGGTGAAGCAGTTGTAGAGTTTGATCTATGTTTGTCGAAAGAGGACTTAACTTTTCAATTGTCTACTCAGTTGAAGGTGGCATCCGCTAAGATATTTCGTCTTACCCTCGTTTAGTACCAGATCCATAAGCTTCTCCAATCTGGACAAAGCAGTACTCACGAGTCACCCTGTCTGAAACCGGTGTCGAGCGGCTCGGAGAAGTCCTTCCCGATCCTAACCAAATTTAGATATAGACGTTGAAGCAGCTTCTTTTCCAGTTTTCCTATAGATTATTTTACCTGCTCTATTCAGCGCTAATACTTTTTTAATATTGGTTCAGCTTATCCAGAGAGGATATTCTGTATGCCATAAACGATTCTGTCTATTTTTCTGGATCTTAAATCCCCAGGGCTGTATTTTTTTTAGTTTTAATATTGGATGAGTGCATAAGTTCGTGCCCGATTCCGCTGGATGCCGTTCGAATCGTTTGAGAGTGGCGCTCGTGAAAGAAATATATACATATTATATATCGTTGGAAAGGTGACAGCCCGAACTGTAAATCAAGCATAAAATAATTTCATTTTCATTTGAATTGCTTAGTGAAAAGACGCATGGAAGATGGACAACGAAAAAGATCATATGCGTCATATTATGTTATACGAATTCCGCAAAGGAAAAACAGTAGGCGCTGCAACTAAAGATATTCGCGAAGTTTATTTGGACCGTGCTCCAGCACTCCGCACAGTAAAGAAATGGTTCGCGAAATTTCGTTCTGGAGATTTTAACCTCGAAGATCAACCTCGCAGTGGACGGCCTTCTGAGCTTGATGACGATGTTCTAAGGACTTTAGTTGCGAATAACTCACGTATTTCGACGGAAGAGGTTGCCAGTGAATTGAACGTCAACAAATCAACTGCGTTTCGTCGTTTAAAAAAGGTTGGGTACACTTTGAAGCTCGATACATGGGTGCCACATCAGTTGAGTGAAAAAAACAAAGTGGACCGTATGTCAACAGCAATTTCTTTGCTTCGACGGATCAAAAACGAACCTTTTTTGGATCGGCTCGTGACTGGTGATGAAAAATGGATCCTGTACAACAATGTTCAACGCAAAAGAACATGGAAACAGGCACACGAAGGGGCGGAACCGATGTCGAAAGGTGGATTGCATCCGATGAAGGTACTGCTGTGCATTTGGTGGGATATCCGAGGCGTGATCTATTTTGAGCTCTTGCCAGCTGGAGAAACGATCACTGCCAACAAGTATTGTCAGCAATTGGTCGAATTGAAGAAAGCAATTGATGAAAAACGTCCGATTTTGGCCAATCGCAAAGGAGTTCTTTTCCATCATGACAACGCCAGGCCACATGTTGCAAAACCGACCCTGGCCAAACTGAAGGAGATGAATTGGGAAATCATGCCGCATCCCCCATATTCACCCGACATTGCACCTTCTGATTATCATTTGTTTCGATCGCTGCAGAACAATTTGAATGGAAAAAAATTTAAAAATGTGGAAGACGTCAAAAACCACCTTGACACCTTTTTCAACGAGAAACCGCGCGATTTCTATGAATCAGGCATCCGTAAATTGGTTGAACGTTGGGAGTGGATTGCCGAACATGATGGCGAATACATAATTGATTAATAAAAGCGCTTTCTTCAAAAAATTTCAATTTTAGTGTGCACTTGAAATCGGGCACGAACTTATGCACTCATCCAATATGTTGGTCGAAAGCTGGTGTATGAGTTTGATAGTGTCATACATACAAATGAAAATTAAAGCTCATACACAAAGCGAGTGATGTTTGGCGCCATTGAGACTGAAGTAATATGTAAAATGTAACTATTCGGCCGAAAATCGCTTTAGCGGTTACAAGGAAGTATATATATTCTATTTTTGGATATATATGTATATATGTAACTATTCAATATAACCAAACAAAAAGTGAAATAATCAAACTTTTTATTCGTAACACAATTTAAATCGTATCCGCAACTTTGTGCAATTTACGTTGTTATTCAAGCAAACAATAGTGGCGAAAAGAATGCAAGAGGAACTCGAATATCGAAGTACGAGTATGCAGACACACACTTCCACTCATACATTCGAATAGCCATACCTTCGAACTAAAGCGATTGCCAAAGAAAATTCGAGTACTTGCAGTAAATAAAAGAAATACAAAAACAAAAACGAAAAAAGAACAAATAAAATAAACAAACAAGAAAATTATTTCAGAAGTGAGAAAAAACAGGAAACAGGAAATAGGACGACCATTATGAGT